GATACAACATGCTTGATATCACAACCTTGGAAGAGACTTCCAATATTTGGTGATTTTTTTAGAGGTAGAAACAACTCTTGACGGTGTTCCAAACATTTTATTTGAAGGAAGTTACAAAGGCCTGAACAACAATCAAATAACAGGGTGGTCTTCTTGCTTTGGTATGAGACACTATCAATGGTTGAGACGGCCTATCAACTAGCTTCGAAGAAAATAAAGATTGAAGTATGTAACAAATATAATTTGCCACATCTTAAATTTCTTTAACATATGAAGATTGCTCCTTATGAAACTCATCTCTAGAAGGGCATGTAATGTCACGGATATACACATGTAAATCAATAATTACCTATATGATTTAGATAAAAATAGATAAAAATAAGTCAATTCCATAATATCTTCTATAAAAGCTTCTTAGAAGCTTTATAGATATTGCTTTGATTTTATAGATATCTATAATTCACTTTTTAGGTTGAAAACATGGTCAATAAGTTGGCCATGTCCTATACATATTAGTAGCTTGAAAAACAAGCTAATTATGTGGCCAATACATATAAAACTTGTCTTATAAGCTAAAGCATGTGTCTTGCAAAGTCAATACATATTAGAGGTCTTATAGAACATCGTCACATAGCTCTTAGTTAGATAGTATATATAGAAGTAAGAATGAAGCTTTCTTCACTCTTAGCAACTCCTTTCTTGCTTCTAGTCTAGATTTAAGAGTTTCTAATTTCTTTATCTTTTAGCAATAGCCATTCCATTTTTCTTTTAATATATATACTACTTTATTTCTATTTTTTCACTTTTCTTTTAACACAAATTTTTAAGGTTTATGCAACTTCTTCCAGTTCATGTCCTTAATACAAAGACATCAAATCAACAAAAGAAATTTTTTGTCATTATAAAAGCCATTTCTATTTCTTTTTTAAATTTTTTTTATAAATATTATCATTGTGATAAATCTTATTGTCTTATTAAATCTTAAAAATATAATATATATAGAATTTTTCTCACCATACTTTAATAAGATTGTTATGAAGTCCATATAAAAATTTCTATAATGCATAAAATATACATATAATGGTTTAAGGAATCCTTGTTTGGCTTATGTGAAGTGGTTATTTTTTTTGGCACAATAAACAAATCCTTACATATTCTTCTATAACTTCTTTTATAAAAGACCTTTGATGCTTCTTTTAGAGTTTTTTTGACTTCTCTATATCTTCTACATAAAATATCATGAATCTTATATATAATTTTCTTCCTCCACTTTCCTTGTGTTACATAGAAATTAGTTTTTTTTAATTATATCAATACATCTTTTATAGATGAAACTCTCATGAGTCTATTTTATTTCCTTATGGTATTTTTTTGTATATAAGCTTTTATGACTTGTAATGCATCTTTATCTTATTTGTATCTTTCTTTAATACCATTGATAAGATGAGAGTCATTATTTCATATTATGGTTTTTAAAACCATAGTTTTAAGGATTATTTTTCATATAAATTTATTTCTTCTATTTAGGGCATCAAGTACTAGGTTATCTTTTATTGATTTATGTATCAATTTAATATCCATTAGTCTTAATGCAATTCTTTTAAAGGAGCTTAGTCCTTTAAAATAATATACTTTAATGAGATATTATCTATAAAATATTTTATTTTCTTACTTTTTAAGTTATGTTCTTTTACAATAAGGCAAATAGCCACAACAAACAATATTTTTTCATGTATTGTCATTTGTAGTTATATACACTTCAAAATCTTTTTTAAAGTTGGAATAAAAAAATAAAAAATAAAAAACAAAAGAAACCATGTTTCTTTTTAAAAAAAAATTAAAAAGAATTCATCGTATTAAAAATTCAACTTAATAGATTTTTTTAAATTTAATTAAAAAAAATTATAAAATATCCTAAATGTTTTTAAAATATTATGAGTTATTTATAGTATTTTTTTAGCTTTAAAAAGTATCTCACATCTTTTTTAGTCTTAGGAATCTTCTATATTTTGATAGCTTCTATCTTCTTAAGATCTAAAAAGAATGTTTTTCTATTCATAAATTATCATAAGAATTCTAATTCTTTTAAAAAGAAGATAATTTTTTTTAGATTGTTATAGAGTTTATCAACTTTCAACTTCTCTAACACTACTCTTAACTGTTATTCATGATCTTTTTCATTCTTTGGGAAGATTAAAATATCATCAATATGCACTAGTACAAAAATATCACTTTTCTTATAAAAGATAGAATTTATGAAGGTAGTGTAAGTAGTCAATGTATTGCAGAAGTTATTAGGCATTATTATAAACTTATGGAATCCATATCTTATCTTATAGGCTATTTTTTTATAATTATTTTATTTTATTGGCAATCCTTATTTTATAATAATCCAACTTAAGATTTATCTTTTCAAAATACTTGATACCACTAAATCTATCCAATTACTTATTAATTCTTAAAAATAGATAGTTTTTTTTTCATAATAATCTTATTTAAAGTCATATGATTTATATATTTTTTTATTTTTTTATCTTTCTTACTTACAAAGAAGATGGATGCTTTAAATGAAAAATTATTAGATCTTATATAAACTTTTTCTAGAAATTTATTAAATTGCTTTTGAAGTTCACTTACATTAAGTTAGTTCAATTTATAAGATGTCTTATTAAGTAGTTTTGCACCCACGAAGAGACTTATTTTATAATCAACAATATTTATAGGTAAAATTTCTTGTAAAAATTGATTTATTAATACATCTTTGAATTCATATATAAGTCACTTTGCAAAAATTTTAAATTTAAGACATTGTACTTGGTTTTTTTTGTATTCTTTAGAAAGTTAAAATCAAAATCCACATCTTCTATGTCAAGAAAGAATTGATTGCTTTCAAACTCATTTTTAGTTACTATTTGAATTTTAAACTTATACAATAAAGAGAGATATATGAATAGCAAGTCTATTTTTTTTTTTTTCTTTCAAATCATGATTATATTGATTATAGATTTCTATCTTATTTTCACCCTATAAAACTCTAAAAAAGTTTTATCTAATATTACATCTATTCCATTAAGATTACAAATTATAAAGTATTTTTGAAATCTTTTGCTTCTACACTTAAATTTCATTTCCTTCACTACTAAGTTGGTAATTGTTTTACCTTAATGAAAAGAGACTTTCACTTACTTAATGTTTTTAAAAATCAAGTCCAAATTTTGAGCATACAAATGACTTACAAACAAATTGGCTGTCTTTGTTTCAATCAACATTAAAATTCTTTGCTTAACTTATTTAATACATAGGTACATAAGTTTTTTACAGAGAGAGGTCAAGGTGATTCTTCATTTAAATTCTTCTTCTCTCACTAGAATCCTTTGGCTCAAACTCAAAACTTTAAGAGTTTTTAGAGTTTCTACTTGACTTTAGTTACTTCTAAGTTTCATCAAGGTACTAAGAACTTCATATATCTTCCTGAAGATCTCTTTATTCTTGTAATAATTGGCATAGTTCTTGTTTTATTGATAATTGAAGTAAGTCACATAGCTTGTATTGGCCTTGTGCTTCTTACTACCTTGATTGTCTTTTTCTTTAAACCTTAAAAAAGGTCTACTATCTTTAAAAAAATTCTTGAAGAAGAGCAATATCTTGTTGTTGTTTTAAAAAGGCCTCATTTTTTATAAATTATTCTTTCTTTCTTTAAGACTTTATGGCTCTTTCATTGCCACTTCTATCTAATCCATATTCTTTCAGTTGTAATTGTAATGTTAAGATAAAAACACCATTAATATTAAAAAAAAAAAAAAAAAAAAAAAAAATCTTTTTCAAATATTTCCCTCTTATATCTTCATTAAGTCCGTTGTAGAAGAATAAAAGCAAGAATTTTTCATAGTTTAGTTGAGTTTATACAAGTTTATTTTAAAAATCTCACACATATGTTGAGAGGGAGGTTTTTCTTCCTTATTTTAATTTAAGCAAGTGCAATTATTCAATGAGGTTTTACCCCTTACTTTCAAAACAACTTATGAAATCTTTACATACTTCATTCTAAGAAGTTTCCTTGGTATAGTTAGCATTAGACTTCAATTCACTGTTGAATCAATTCAAATTACTTCTTTCAAGTAAAGCTAAGAAGATTCTTATCTTGTCTACATCACTTTTAATGTCATTAGTTAAATGACAATGCTTTACTTCTTTTAAGAACCTCTTTGTGATTCTCTTGTAATCCATTTCTTTACTTTTTTGAGGTTGATTTGTCTTGGACCTATGTGAACTTGATTTTTTCTTTTGGATTTCAAGTACGTCCAAGAGAAGAACTCTTAAGGACGTTTCTTTTGGATTTCAAGTACGTAGAAACTCCTTGATTAATTTGCACTTATAGTCCAAAACTTTCTTCAAGAATCTCTTCATTGTGTTAGCTCAACTTTGTCCTTGCAATTTTCCTAACTATATTTCTTATTCTCCCTTTCAACAAGTTTGTAGTTTGTTATTAGAGGGTAGCTCACACTTTCCTAAGATGGAAGCTCTAATAATACTTACAATGTCTCTTGTGTTCTTCATTCAAGCCTCACCTGAAAACACCCACACAAGGTGTTAGTTTTCTTTCCATCACTAAGCACAATACCAAGGAGGCGGAAACCCTAGAATGGCTACGTTCACTCCATCGGCCCCTCGCTCGCACTCGCCCTATGAGCTTGGGGGCGGCCCTTGCTCACATTGCTTGCTTCCGCTGCCTTTAGCAAGGTGAGGGTAGTTTTTCAACCCTCACAGTTACAGGCTTGAGCGCAATAGTACTGCATCAACCGTTATCTCTTACACATCACATATGAGAAACCAACCAAACAAGTTGTATGACGTGTGGCCATAAACTCTTCTCCACAAATCTTCACACGATCTGTGTCTGTTCAAAAGCAGCTGCCAAGTGTCGCCGCTCGAACTCCGCCTCCATCGGACCTTACAAGTGTGACCCCGATTGAAGGCCCTGCCATCGCCTCTCCCATGAACCTTAGTGTCATTTCGCAGCTCGACTGGCGAAAGTTCGGTTGCAAATTCATCACCGGAGCTCAGGTGGAGTTTTGACACATCTGCGATGTCCCGTTCCACCGCTGACTGTGCGGCAGACACCCACTTCACTTTCGCCGCTAACGAACAGTACAGCACTGCATCCCAGGGCGTTGAATGACGGCTTCCATCCCAGCTTCTGATCTTCTTTCGAGCGCAGCATAAGGTCTGCCTCGGGATTCTAGCTCTAACCGAATTCGTGCAAGCAATGGGTCTATGCTTGCACGAATTGCGGGTGGCTGGTGGTTGTCGTGGACTGTTTCGGGGTAAACGGTGAGGACGTTGGGGATGATGATGAGGGTGGACTGGTAGCTTGAAAAGAGTTGGAGGATTGGACTCCGACTGCAGTTTCGGGAAGTGAAGCTGTTGAAGCTCTAACCCAGTGATTGCTCCGAAATCGATGAAGGTGGAGGGATTGTAGTTTGAAGGTAGGTAGTGGAACAAGTTTGCAGCTAGCCACGAGAGAGATTTTCGTGTTCGTGAAATATGTCTTTGGGTAGCTTGTGAAGAGTTTAGCAGTTGGTTGCAAGTTGGTACTCTTGCCGGGCCGATTAGAATTTGATTAGTTTTAAGATGTAGCGAAGGGATGGACCTACCTGCTCCAGGTTGAAATTTGAACCATATCTCATCAAGAGGTCGATAAGCCTACAATTCCCTCGCGAAGGCGACCTCGTGAATGAATCAAATATGAGTTTGTAGCATGTCTGCGACATTTTTTTTTCTTTGGTAATGGAGCTGGCTTAGATACTCTGACGTGCTACATTGACCCCTGGGCTGACAAGGAAGCCGATTTGCTCTGGAGTGGTAGCGAGGATTAACTCACTTGAGCTCAAAAACTTAGGCATTCCGAAGTGGGTGTCGACGTACTCATGGGAAGAGGTCAGCATTCCAGATTCTTCTGTAATACAACTGTCTCAGAAATTTAACTTACAAAGATGATGGAGCAGTTAAAGCTCTTACAGTTCTAATCTTGTGTTTCGTGCAGGGGCTGCTGCGAGGATGGCACCTGATAAAATTAGGATTGGAGTTAATGGATTCGGTAGGTTTGGACGTCTCGTAGCGCGAGTCATTCTCGAGAGAGACGATATCGACCTGATCGCTGTCAATGATCCTTTTATCAGCACAGACTACATGGTACGTTGCCTTTCTATGAATATGTGATTTCACGCTTATCGATGACGGTCTGAAATCACTTATAATTAGAGCAACTGTTTGAGATAATTCAGCAACTCATGAAATTGCAGGCATACATGTTCAAGTTTGACACAGTGCATGGGCGAATGATGGACATTGACATATACGCCGAAGATGAGCAAACGCTGTCGTTCGATGGCAAGAAAGTGACAGTCTTGAGTTATAAGTGAGTTCCTTGAATTGTGTTTCGCATTTGGTGCGTTCCAATCTTATGATCATGCAATTCGGGGTAAAGGCGAGCCATTTAACGTTGACAATGTTGTGGAAATTTGCAGGGAGCTTCATGAGATTCCCTGGAGTGAGCTCGGTGTCGATTATGTTGTGGAATGTACTGGGAATTATACCACGAAAGAGAGAGCAGCGGAGCATCTGAAGGGTGGTGCGAAGAAGGTGATCATAACAGAATTCAGCAAGGATGCGCCTATGTTCGTAATGGGCGTGAACGAGTGGGAATATCGACCTGAATACAATGTTGTGGCCATGGCCAGTTGCACCACCAACTGCTTGATGCCACTCCTCAAGCTTCTCAACGATAGGTACGGAGTGGTAGAGGGTGTATTGACAACTGTGCACTCCCTAACTGCAACGCAAAAGCTGCTCGATGGTCCGTCGCTGACAGACTGGAGAGGTGGACGTGCAAACATCCTAGCAAGCTCCACAAGCGCCGCAAAGGCAATTGGTCGATTGGTTCCTCGTATGAGCGGAAGAATTCGAGCCATGGCTTTAAGAGTTCCAACTGCAGATGCATCGCTTGTAGATTTGGTGGTCAAACTCGACAAACAAGTCTCTTATGAAAAAGTCTGTGAAGTGATCAAGTAAGTCGTACCCATCCTCTCGTTATGGTAATTGGTTTTGTCAGGAGTACTGTCGTTTGAAGATGTATACCAACCCAAAGACTCTTACCCAGAAGTTGATCCTTGGAATTACAGAGAAGAAGCCGCAGGCAATTTGAAGGATGTATTAGGTTACACGGAGGAGGATGCTGTCTCACACGACTTCCTCGGTGACAGCAGGTATTTAAAAAAATCTCGAGTTATCGACATCACCTACTGGCTGTGGACTTCACCGTTCCTTTCTCGCAAAATCAAACTTCGAATAATTCTTTAAGTTACACTAACAAAGCTGATTCGCGATTTATAATTTGACTTAATTTTGTTTTTTGCATTCAGATCGAGCATATTTGACGCGAAATCTGGATTTGAGTTTGGAAATGGCTTCTTGAAGCTGGTGGCTTGGTTTGATAACGAGTGGGGTTACAGGTATGCTTACAAAATTCCACTGACACTATGTTGTCTATGAGCTTAATATCCAAAAATATGACTGTCTTCAAGCGTTTCGTAGTGAGGAAATCTAACGCGAATCCTTATTGTGCGCAGTCACAGGGTGGTGGATCTAATTAAACACATGGCCTCCTTGCAACCCTTGCCACTTCATCACTAGATTAAAAGCAGTGTAGAAATGTAAACTATCATCCTGTATATAGTTACACGGAGGATCGCGAAATGCCCCCATATCATTACTTGTACAGAAACCAAAGCAAAATGATCACATTGGGTCGAAGTAGCAACCCTGCAAACATACACTATGAAGAAATAAGAGAACAGATCCACAGTGAAAGTGCAAGGATCTAAACCTTCAGTACAATAGTGTGAAATTGTAAACTCGCAACACGCCGAGTATCAGGTAGTGAAACCCAGGGAAAAACTTCATGATTAACAATTGTGCAAAAAACTAATAACTGGTAAACAATAATTCACATGAATATGAAAGATAAATTTGGTTTTGAATCGGAAGTGAAATTGAATCTCTCAGCAAGTACGTTAATATTGTTTGTTTTCTGGGAGGCTAGCCCCCTTCCAGTTCCTTTGAGCCAACTAGGCAATGATCTAACAGGGCATATTCAGCTGGAATGAGTGCTACAAAAAGGTTACCTCTACTTCCAATCAAATTGCACCAAAACAATTAAATTGTTAACTGATTTTACTTGAATTGTTTCAGTAATGGACACTCAATCCTGTGGTTTGTGTCCAAGAAAAAACCGCATCTAATAAGTAAGTTGTGATCAATCAGTATAAACTACTTCTTTCCATTAATAGGATTAATCACTTGCACTTACTTCTATTTAGCATCCATCCACTGAGTTTAAATCAACACAGCATTTTGGCACATGGGTCTTATGATTGTTATTACCAGCTCATACAACTTGTCCCAATTACACTACCATCTGTGGGGATTGGTAGTGTAAACAAGTAAGCACGCATGCAAAAACAAACAAACAAACAAATTCCATAAAAAAGAAGATGAGACAAATAAAGAAATGAATAATAAACACAGAATGTCAAGATGAATGAATCTAAAAAAACTTGGTTGCATTTTGTTTCTGTTTTTGTTTGAATTATTATTATGATTATTATGATTACTATTATTTTCTTTTCCTTTTTATTTGTGTTTTACTTTGTGTTTGTTTTGTCTTGTTGTTCTTTTGCTTTTTGTTGGATTTTTATTATATATTTTTCTGAAAAACTGTGTTCTTGAGTATTGGTTGAGTTTATTTTGTGCTTTGTAAGTCATGTTTGTTTGGTTATTTATTATATTTAATATTTCAGTATTGTAGTTTTCATTTCTTGTGTATAAAAACTGGATTTTATTTTTAAAAAATCACTGTTGATGTTGTTATTAATGTATTTTTGGGGGAAAATATCACAAGTACCTTTGAAATCTGCTGAAATATCAAGAGTACTCCTATATTCTTGATAATAGCAAACATATCTGACACTTTTGTGATAATATCAAATCTACCCTTGAATCTGACCTTGAATCTGATGCTCCATTTTTAGGTTCAAATGGGCCCTTTCTGCACTTTACGGCTGCGGTCCTCGCTGCCACCACCACCATGCTTGCCTCACAACGAGCCTCTGCGCCTTACTGCAAGCCTTTGCGCATTTCTTAAAAATAATTTTGTCGCACTGATCTCGACCCCCTTGGAACAGAGAGGCTCATTTCCCATTTGCGGGGATTTCTGTTTCTATCCACAACCATGGAGGATCAAAGGTAAGAAGGTTAATTTTGGGTTTAGATTCCTACCTAAGTTACTGTATCTTTTCAATGTTTGCCAATCCTGAGCTGCATAATACTCAGGGATGCTATCACTGCTCGTCATAGTAGAAAACCAAAGACACTGAACTTTCTTAGAGTAGTGCGGGCAAAAGAAATGGTAAATGATCGACGGTTAGCTGCAGATTGAAGGACCTCGTCCGTTTAGTGGCAATCAACTCCCTGTTTGATTGTAAGTCCTGCAAACCAGGCAGATGATGGTCCAAATCGAATGAGTCACGGACTGTAACACACGACTAGGTACTTGTAAATCTAAAAATGTAGAAGATCGCTGTAGTCTATGAAGCGTGAAGACGCTGGACCCGAATAGGGGGATGTTTTTGAAGTCACAGATGTTTGTTCAAGTCCAAATGACTTGCCAGGTCTACAGATCCTATGTTCATGTTGGGATATAGACTACTCAAAGCATGTGAAGAGATTTGACACTTTGAACTTAAGAAGATCACCGTGATTCTCTTCTAGAGATTTTTTCACAAGTTAGACGTAGCGGACTTTGTGCTCATACCTTTTGGGTGTCCTCAAGGACAGCCTTGAAGAAAGCAAGATCATGCTCCAACCTCAGATTCTCTAAATGAATCACATTGCGCAGATTATTCGAGTCTTCTTGTGCTCTTTTAGCAGCGGCACTTCTCTCTTCAAGATCCATTCGTCCCTTGAGAGAAGCTGCAAGCTTTCCTTCAGCATGTTGCCGAGTTTTTAATGCTAATTGAAGGCTTTTTTCTGCTACTTCTTTCCTTAAGAGAGCAGTTTAGAGTTGTCCTTCTTCAAGCTCACCCTTCCGCACAGTAGCTGCTAGTTTCATTTCAAAGCTTTTTCTATACTTATTAATCAAGTGTATGCGTCTCTCCATGGTCATAGCATCCTGTAGGTCCGCAAGTAGCTGACTGTCGATACATTCTTCCCCTTCACAGTTATGCCTTTGCAATGCAGTAATCAAACTTTCAGCCCTATCACTGGCATGAGACTTTGTTCGAAGGCTCAGATCAGTGACAACTCCCCTTTTGGAGTCAACGTACTCACTACTTTTCATCACCCACAAAAGAGTGAAATCCAAGGATTCCTTCCTTTTGGAGGAACCTTCAGGCTTTCTTGGGTTCTCTTAGCTGCGTGTTGCTATAGGGGCCAACCTACCCCTCATCTCCAGATCTGCATGCATTCCATCAAAGCCCTGCTAAAAGGAAGTCAATACAATTGCACCAAGCGGTCATCTTTACACACACCCAACACGCTTATATTCATGAGTTATGATGATAAAAAAATCATATAGTTTCCCTTGTGAAAGACTCTAAAATCACAAATAATAGATCAAGTGCAAACACTTTCAAGGACCTTCTCACACGTAGCAGCTTTGCACGAAATCTAACATTCAGCTTGACAATGAGATCATTCCATTCTGAGGGGTTTCCCATAAAGAGATTCAACAAATCTCTGCAGTCAAGAAAGATTGCAATCAGACAAGACATCCAGCCACGATCCAGCGCACTCCCGTATGAATATGCTGCCATGCTCCTCCAATCTCATGATAGTAATCTAATGAAGCTTGCGAACAGTACTCCAAATTACACCAGTGGGTGCTTTGGTTGCAAGAAGCCATTAACATGCAATTTAGATATCAGTGCGACGAAATTATTTTTAAGAATTGCGTAGAGGCTCGCGGGGAGGCGCAAGGGTGCGAGCATGGTGGTGGTGGCAGCGAGGACCGCGGCTAAAAGTGCATAAAGGGCACATTTGAACCTAAAAAAGGAGCACTTTTGATAACTTATCAGACAATCTTAAGGATAGATTTAAATTATCACAAAAGTGATATTAATCTAATTTCTCTCGGGTGCGGGCCCACTGGCAGCTTGCTGCTCGGGATAGCGCGCGTCGCCTTGGTATTGCACTGCCTCCTCGGCCTACACAGCCCATCCTCCTCCGTCCCTCGGAGAAGACCCTCCAACAATGCAAATGCAAAGAGCAAAATAGGAAAAATATGTGAGCACTTTCCGCTGATGCTGTTGATGCTTGATATGGAGTTGGACGCTGTTCAGCACGAGGTGGATCTCCACACTACCCTCCTGCATTTGGGCGTGCTGCACTTTCACAACCACCGTGTGAGACTCCATTATCATTGGTCATGGCAGCCATGGCTGGTTATTGTTTGGAGTCAGTGAGGAGTTGGGATTGAGGGGCTTCCATCCAAGGCTTCCGCTGCATGAAGACATTGGGAAGTACCACCAAGTTTTGGATGAGTCAAACAAATCTTGGTTTTGGTACTCTTTGCCTTCTCCTTTGGTATCTGGCATACATCAATACTATTGATACACTACGAGGCTGGTCGCACACTTTCGCCTCGGGGACCCGTGTGACAACACATGATGCACGCACCTGTGCACAGGCAGCAATCCACTCATAGGTGATGGAGATTCTGTGGGTTGTGCCAAAACAAAGCTTCTGGAGTGCAAGGCCAACCCATGCATTGGTCACATATTTGAAACACTGGTAATTCATTGTTGTGATTTGTCGCACGAGGCTTTTCTAAAAAAAAGACTAAAAATGGCCCTAGTATTATCTTTATATATAGTTACTACTAAAAAACATTTTATGAACAATGTAAAGACTTCTAGAGCTAGTAATTAAATTCTAGATTGCTTATAAATCAACTTTTTGAAAGTAATAGCAAATTAGAACATGTAAAAAAATTTCAAGATTTAAGTCATCATTAAGAAATTGTCTTTATGTTTCTACTTACTTTTTACATATATCTATATATTGAAGTGATATAGGCATCTATAAAATATGTATTCTTCAAAGATTTGACTAATAATAATTCTTGATAATTATAGGAATTTTAAAACAAAGTGTAAGAATTGAAAGTAGTATGAAATTTGTACATATCATTGGCAATAATAAGATAAAGTTACATTCTAAAGAAATATTCTTAGAGTGTTTCTAAAATCATATTTAAGAATCAAATGTTGTAGATTAAATTGTTGCAAATTCAAAAAATACTAAAAAAATTCAAATTTAAGAGATTTGAGTTTATATTGACTTTGTGAAAGCTTTACAAAGTTAGGTTTGTTTTGGATGACTTAGTTTTTTGAAGAATAAAAAATAGGTTATATTTTGATAAATTTTGTGAGTTTAAGTAAAAAAATATAAGTTTTTGAGCATAGTCATGCTAAATAGGTTTTATAAAATTAAGTATAATTGGATGATTAAATTAAAGGTTACTAAAATTTAAGTGTAATAGGATCTTAGAGGTTAGTGATGGTCTCTATGATTTTGTGCCATATGTCAATTGGATTGAAATGAATTTTTCTGTGTGCCAACAATTGACTTAGTTTCTAACATTTACACAAGTTATGTGAGCAAGTAAATGCTACAATTGGAGAGTTATTAATTCTGCAAAGCTCTCACAAAACCAATGCTCTAAGAAACATTATTAAGTTTGTTCTCCAATCTTGCTCTTTGATTTACAAAAGAATCTATGTTTTACCATAGGTGGGCACTTTTGTGCTTCAAGGTCTGATTTGGATCTTTGTTTACAACCAATTGTCTTTGGGTATCAATGTAAGACTAATTTAGGTAGTTTTTGTTGAAAGATACTCTTTACTTTCACCTGAAAATGCTGGTAATATTTTTCTTGATGACCAACTTTGTTTTGTCTTCTTCATAGTCATTCAAAATAAGTAAAGCTCTTCTTCCAAATAAGCAACATTTGCACTAAATTGTTTTACTACCTCCTTAACTCTTATCTTATTTATTTTAAAAGTTGTAATTGTGGGTTGTTTGGTGCTTGCTGGCCTTGGCAGTCCCCATAGTTAAAGAAGGAATGTTATTGTTTTGAGATGGTCATTGAGCAAATGGTACAAAATCAATGAGTTTGAGCACAAATAATTCCCAATTTGGTTTAAAGTTGAAGTGGAATTGGAGCTATTAGAAGACAAAGGAGTTCAAGGATCATTGCAATTTACCACCTCCAATACCCCATCAACTTCTTTTCTTTCTCTCTTCATTAAATTTCCTCTCATTAAAATTTAGTTCAATTCAATTTGTTTATTTATTATTTTGTTTCCAACCTGCTTGTCTTAATTTTTTTGTAGGTTTTATCTTCCCTTCAATCTAATTCCTAATTCAAATAAAAAATAACATCATAATATTTATATTTATAGACATGTTTTATAAAAATTAAATAATTCAATGAAAACATATAACAGGAAAAAAAAAAAAAAAAAAAAACCAAGTATGGTTTGTAGGAGCATCACTGTGTTTATATATATGTGTTTTTTTTTTTTTTTATATATATATATATAAGAGATCACATTGTGTCTTAATAGTTTATCAATTTCAAAATAATAAAATCCAATTATTTTCAAGGACAATTCCATTGCTGTGACACACAAAAAGTGAACATTAATTGGAGCATCCTAAAAGGAATCTAAGAATGTTGTGGATGAACAGAACCTTAAAGGACCTTCTTCATTCATCCACTTATGAAATAAAATCCCATGCTTACTCATCCAGAGGAATTTGAAGTGATTTCCCCAGCAAATCAGTGAACGCCAAGTTTACATCTCGAACCTGGGCCACTAACACGTCTTCAGGCTTGGATCCGAGCCTGCAGGCCAGGTTCGGCTGTGGGTGACCTCCAGTGATGCTCTCTGTGTAAGCCACAAGTCAGCTGCAGCACAGTTCTCAACTTGGATTTGCTACAGGTGTAGTTTGCATGAATAAAGTGAGACTGCCCACTTTCACCCATGGGTTCTCATCAGTGGAAAATGATCTAACTGGAAGAAGCCAATGTGCTGACGAAAGCTGCCATGGCTAGAGCTCTGTGTATGAGGGGGGGGGGGGGTATTGTAGCTCACCCAATGTAAACAATGGGAAGGATTTAGTGTGGGCTTTACAGGTGGGGTCACTGTGCCCATGCTTGGCTTACAACAACCACACTATGGTGGCCTCAGGAGCCACGGGGTGGGTGGGGTCTGTTTTGTTTGTCTTTAAAATCTTGGAATGAATCCCTTTGTGGTGGTGGTGGTCAAATTATGCATATTCCTGGTAGGGATCTCTGAGATGCCTATGATAATATGTCAAATTTTACATTTCTATTTTCTCCTTAGTTCCACAAAAGTATTACATGGGTTGTCTATTCTCAGATTTCAACCATTGCAATAGTTTTCCCCCTGAATGTCAAAATAAAATAAAATAAAAGACTTTAACTTTTCATAAGTAATTTAAAATGATTCTGGAGTCTTTCAAGTCAATAGCAGGTGCTCTTGTTTTTTCTATTTTTCCATTCATTTCATCTCATAAATCTTAAGAGATGAAATGAGAAATTTTGTGGAATTAGGGTAGACCAAACTGACTTTCTTTCTAAAAAACATTGTATTGTCGGTAAAATAGTTGGGGTCATTACTGTCCTGGGATCATATTGGTCTATTTTACTGGTAATTTCGACTCAGGTGAGAAAATCCGGTAAACGTTCATTCACAAATGGACAAATGGAGCGTTTATAAATGGCGAAAAAGTAAAAGGCAATCAGGTGCGTCCCATGTGGCACCTTGGTCGGTTCGGAGAGCAGACCGACTCAAGCCCAGCTTCGGGCCGAACCGTCCCATGCCGCCGTCTTCAATCACGCCGAGGTTGCTCTGCCACTCTTGATTATGTTACAACTGTAGGTTTCAGTTCTCACGTCAATCTCCTCCATCTTCAATCGATTTATCATACACGGTGCATTTTATCGAGTGACACTGTCACTGAGTGTGTATCTGTGACTCAGTTAGGGATTTTTCGAATGGATTTGGCCCTTTTCTGGCCATTTTCTGGTCAGTTACGGAGGTGGACATGTCGGGCGGAGGCTTAATTCGTTTGAAAGAGTTGGAGTAGCTTGTGCTTTGGTTTCTATCGCCGTTTCGTCTCTCGGGAGTTGATGCGGTTCTAGGTCTGCGGCAATTTTTCATTTGTGGGGATTTTAAGAGGTGAGAATTGTGACTGGAGTTTTTTTTTTTTTTTTTTTTTTTTTTTTTTTCCCCATTGGTGGGGATGGTTGGTTTGGTCCCCTTCATTCTGGCCTACATTGAAAAATCCTGGTAAACTCTCGGATTTCAGCATTTGTACGCCGTGCATCAGTGTGTGAGGATTGTAGAGGGTAGAGGTTGAGAGTATCTCGGATGATTCATGTTTTTTGACTTACAATAAACTGGTATCGGTGATACGGTCTATTCGATAGTGATCATCGTGTACTAAACGTTCGAGGGTTTCGTCGTATTTATGGGAATTCCCTGCTGCGCTCGATTGAATTCGTTTTTTTTTTTTTTTTTTTTTTTTTTTTTGTAATTGCAGTCAGAGATGACGTCGAAGTTGCTGAGAGATTTTGTTTATTTCGTGTTAACGTTTCCTCTCATCCCCTCGGTACAGCATGCTCTTAAATTACTCCATTTAGAACTACATTGTGCTCTAGAAATGTGGGAAATTGTTCGCAGATTCTACTTTAGGCCAGTCGGTTATACTAATGCCTATATTTTAGTCACTGCTTGTGAAAGTCTATGTAGATAGTCGCACTACCGGAGTGTCCGTGTGGAAGATGGGATGTGTATGGCTGCATAGTTAGGTCGCACACGGAGAATTATCCCTTTCTAGTGTCTCGTTCTTCGGCATTGTGGAGTATTTATCGTCTCAGATCCTCAACTAACTGGCAGCGATGCCCCTCTTCTTCTTTTTTTCTTCTTATTCTTTCCCTTCATGACGAGGGACGTAGAGGTTGCTAAGATATTCAGAATCGAGAATCTTTGTATTTTGGATGTACTTAATTGTAATAAGCTCTGTTTCTTACGAATCAAAAGAACAGCTCCCCGTTCCTGTTTCGCAGGTCTACACTAGTTTTGGTATTAACGACAGCATTTGTAAGTTGGTTAAACTCGGAATGCATTGTGTAACCGGGGGTTTACTTCTTTCAGGTGTAGGTTTTTTTTTCGCCGCTTACCAATCGCCATGGCTCCCTGGGATGCTGCCGCGGACGCCAGGACCAGCGTAGGAACCGAGAAAGCTTTCTCGTTCTTGTCCAAGAGTATATCGGAAGTGCAGAAATCTGCCGAGTCCGATATCGAACTCATCAGATCCCGTGTAAAATCATTCCAGAATCTGTCGGAGGCTCTCGACAAGGAATGGGAAAGTTTGAAGATTCCTGCTGTGGACAACCTGAAAAATTCTGGAAAGATCTTGAGGATGATGGCGGACACCAGCAAACGAACCCCAGGAAGTTCATTATCCTCAGGCGCCGATTTTAGTTTTCTTGAAAGCCTTAAGCCAACCTTAACTGATTTCCAACGTCCTTTCTCTGATCCTGACTTTCAAAGCCGCCACCGAGATGACTCCAGGGGAATGAATCTCTGGCTTCGGAAGCCATCGTTTTCCAAAGATGCGGAATCGGGGCTTGATTTGTTCTCTCGGAAGGCACGAGACGGGCTTCGAAATGAGTGGTCTTCTTCTCGGAAGATGAGTGATAGGAGTATGATTGTTAGAGATTGGCAGAAAGGACCCAGGAGGAAGAAATTAAATAGGAGGTCAAAGCCAGCGTCTGTGGATGATTGGGTGGATGACTGGGAACCTTTGCGGCGCGTGAAAGAAAGTGTAAAGGAGAGTCTGCAAGAGCTTGAAAGCACCGCTGCCACAAGCAAGACGCCTTCGGAGTTTTTCGAGAACGTCAAGAAGACGGAATTTTATGAGAATGTTAAGAAGAACTTGGTGCGATTTTTTACTCCCCATCTTCATTGTAATCCTGTACCTTAGGACCTGGTCGTACCAAGCAAAGCTATCCTATGCTATTTCCTTTTATAACTCATATTAGTTATTCTAAGATTGTATTTGTTCATATACTGTAGAAGCTGTCATCAGGCGCGGACGGAAGCAAAGAGATGTATATGTCGAATGTAGCCCCTTTGGATGTACCAGAGTTGCTAGAGAATCTAGTTAGGCAGTCTGAGCCTCTTCTCGGTCATCTTGGTGTGAGGAAAGGTGCGTTTCCGTTGACTGCTAACGAATTGAATGTCACTGAGGGTACTTCCTGAATGTGATAACATGTAGTGAGGTTCTTGAGTTAATTCGTGGACCTATTCCAAGTATGTGCTGCTGAGTTGTTTCATTTTGGATTATGTTTTCTGTTGAGAAGCAGGCTAACTGTAACGAAGTAGGCCGGTGAACTGAGAGTGATCCACACATGATCACGGATTATCCTCGTTGATGTATGAAATTTCTGTTGGCGCAGATGTCTCAGAGAAAGTTTGTGAACTTATAAGGAGTTGTAAGCGAGAAGATCAACAGCTCTTTCATCAATCATCCAAGACTGGGAAGGACTTGAATAAAAGTCAAGACAACCTGGAGCTACGGATAGCTACTGTTTGTCAAAGTACAGGCTACAGATATAAAGGGGGTCTTTGGAATGATTACGAGAATACGAGAGGATCTTTTCAACAAGATGCCCGTCGTAACATTGCAATTGTCACTACAGCAAGCTTACCATGGATGACAGGGACTGCCGTGAATCCACTCTTTCGGGCTGCTTTTCTTGCTAAAGCTGGGAAGCAGAATGTTACTCTTCTAGTGCCTTGGTTGTGCAAGAAGGATCAAGAGCAGGTTTATCCTAACCGTATGACATTCGATTCTCCTGAAGATCAAGAGAGTTATGTGCGTGACTGGGTGGAAGCCCGTGTTGGATTCAAGTCTGACTTCAAGATCGCATTTTATCCCGGGAAGGTAAGTGTGGAAATGAATATAGTTCTTGGATTATTTAGCGTGCTGTTCTACAGTTTCTTTGATGTGGGCATGTAAATGTACGTAGCAATTGGAATGCCTGGTTTGTCATTGCATTCTTCTACTCAAATTCACTTGCCTTACTTTGGAGGTAGCCAAATGGTTAATGGTATGATGCATCTACTTCACATGTTTCTCTTTATGTTTCTTTCCTTATGTTTTACACATGTTGGTGTTGCTCACAGTTTTCAACAGATAAACGAAGTATCTTAGCATCGGGCGACATTTCTGATTTCATTCCAAAAGAGGAAGCTGACGTTGCTGTGCTCGAGGAACCTGAACATCTAACATGGTTCTATCATGGAAAACGCTGGACGGATAAGTTTCAACATGTTGTAGGAATTGTTCACACCAATTACTTGGAGTATGTGAAAAGAGAGAAAAACGGAGCAGCTCGAGCCTTTGCTCTGGAGCATATTAACAACTGGATGGCTCGTGCCTACTGCAACAAGGTAATCCATATTCTGTCTTCTCCGTTCATTCTTATGAAATTTGAGGAACCAGATTTGGAGTATGGTTTTATTATCAAAGATCGTTCATTTGCACAATCGTATTAATCATTTGTCTGAAGGCACAATCTGTGTATTTAATGTGTAGGATGTTCTAATTAACCCATCTGGTATGTGTGAAATGATTCCTGTACTTGGCAGGTGTTGCGACTCTCAGCAGCTACTCAAGATTTCCCCAGGTCTTCTGTTGTGAATGTTCACGGAGTTGGCCCGATATTCTTGGAAACAGGCAAGCGACTGGCAGCCGAGTCTGGAGAAGGGAATCCTACATTTTCGAAGGGTGCTTACTATTTGGGTAAAATGATATGGGGGAAGGGATACAGGGAACTTGTTGATCTTTTTGTGAAAAACAAGGATCAGCTATCCAATGTGGAGCTGGACGTTTTTGGAAGTGGTGAAGATTCTCATGAAGTTCATGCCGAGGCTCAACAGAATGGACTCCGTATGAGATTCTATCAGGGGCGAGACCATGGCGATAATACTTTACACGGGTACGAGCTTTACTTCAGCTACCGTTTGACTGTCCTTTTGTGCTCGATGTTTAATTTTATTTGGTGTGTTCACTTTTTTATATGTTTGAATCGTTTTAGATTTTTAGCTTGATTCGTTATATTTTCTTTGACTTGTGCAGATACAAGGTTTTCATTAATCCAAGTTTGAGTGATGTGGTTTGCACCACCACCGCAGAGGCCCTAGCGATGGGCAAAATTGCGGTGTGTGCAGACCACCCATCTAATGACTTTTTCCGATCCTTCCCCAATTGCTACTTTTATCGGACACCCGAAGAGTTTGTCGAGAAGGTGCAGCAAGCAATGGCCTCGGAGCCGGTGCCTCTTTCCCCTGAGCTACAACATCTCTTATCATGGGAAGCAGCCACAGACCGGTTCATTGACTCAGCTGGTATTGACATGCTACCTCCCAAGGGCGCCAAGAAATCCAGATCAAAGACACCAGCACTGTTAGGTGAGTAGGCACAGCTAATATCGGGTCCATAGCTGGTTGCTTTGAAATCAGGATTGTATGAATTCGCTTATTTTCTTGATGTGGGGAGCTAAATTATGTTAGTTGGAACGTTCTTGTGATAGCATACTTTTCTGGGTTATGCTTTTCAGGTGAGGAAATTGACCAGAAGACAATGACGCTATCGACATCATCACCTGATCTTACTGATATTGTGGATAAGGGTCTCTATTTCGCACACTATCTTATGACTGGCTTTGATCCAATGCGGAATCTTTTGGGAGCTCACCCCCAAACAAAGCACATTGATTCACAGCATTGTAAGGATTTGGGGTTGCCACCTCCCCACGTTCAAAGGCCTGTATATGGATGGTAGAAATATTGAGCTAGATTGCTGATTGATTCCATATGGAGAACGAAGAGGCTTGATAGAAGCTTCTGCGGGAGTCAAAGGGTGTCGGGACAGAAGGTGGAGTGGTTTGGTCACACATGAAGTTGCCGAACCTAGGTGATTTTTGAAGACAACGTCGCTGAGACAAATAGACTTGTTTGTTTTAGTTTTGCAAAATAAATAGCTTTCGTAGAATTGCAACGGGACTATATATTGAGTTGAGTATTTGGTGCAAAAATCGACAGGATTATGTGCGCACACAGCACTCATTTGGTATGAGCTTTGAGACGGTTTTGAATAGAATTTAGAGCAGTGTGGATGTAGCGTTCTGTACAGTGGTGTTTTCATCCCCTGCCCCGGCTGTTTGTAAAATACAATCTTTCTGAACGGTTTCAAATTTTTTTCGCGCTAAATGCCAATTTCATGTCTCACCAGTTGGCGACGGTTAGGTTTGGATTTTTTTTTGTAATTACCATTTGTGGTTACCATATGTGATTCGACCCTGGATAGCTTGTATCATGCAGCGTACTGACCAACTTCACCGACGAGAAGTGCATTGCTTTCAGAAGTATCTAGAACTGGTTTCTGGCACCGCACTCTTTCTTCCATTTATGAGCTCACAGTGTGAAAATGTATGCCCTCGAACTGGAATTGATTGTAAACCAGCAGAAGGAAGTTCAGAAACGGGAAAGTCCACCGAATACCGCATCAGTTGCATTGTTCTCCACAGAAAATACTCATCTGTGCTACAGCATTGGCATATTTATTGTTTGAAAATATGCCCAGCAGCCTCCGAATTAAGAAACGTGCACTTTTACCCCTAAATACAGAGCAGGAATGTTCCGGATAAGGAGATACTGCGAGGAGAAATTAGAAACGAGAACAAGAGCATCCATGTGCCTGTTCTCTGCCCAGGTATAGGGTTACCCAAATTTGTTATTTGTTTTTTTTAAAGATAAGTATTATTATATATTTGTATACGTACATAAACATATTGAAAAGGGGCCTAAATGATTGTTGAGGCCTAGAAGAATTTTTTTAAGACATCATTATTGCAGATACAGTAAAAATAAAAAATAAAAAAATAATAAAAAAAAATCTTGAATGGATTTGCAATTTTTTAATTTTTATTTATTTTAAAACTTGACTTAGTATATCCAAACATTTAACCAACCACATAATAGCCAGGATTTAATCATTCAAGGATTTGAGTGAAGTTAGTATTATTCTTTAACATATGAATTAGAATTTAATTAATCAAGGGATTGATTGAAGTTAATAGTATTCTTTAATATACTAGTTGGAATGCATTTAATCAAGGGATTGATTGAAGTTAATAGTATTCTTTAATATACTAGTTGGAATACATTTAATCAAGGGATTGATTGAAGTTAATGGTATTCTTTAATATACTAGTTGGAATACATTTAATCAAGGGATTGAGTGAAAATAGTACCCTTTTACATTTGGAATTTAGACAATCAAAGAATTTTGAGGATAAATATCAATTTTCAATATTTTACATTTGGAATTTAGACAATCAAAGAATTTTGAGGATAAATATCAATTTTCAATATAAAATAGAGATACACACTTAAATAAATAAATAAATAAATATATATATTTATATATACATACTATAGTCTAGTTTTTTAACATAATAATATAGTAAGTTCATAATGATGTCAAATGTCTTGACATTCTTTGATGATTTAATGTAATGTAGGAATTTGATATAGATCTAAATATCTTAAATTAAGTCTTCAAATAAATTAAATGAAAAATATAATAGTATATCATGAATCAAACAATAGATTTATGATCTTACAATAGAAAATATTTTAATGATATTATAAGAGTTTTTTATTCATTACTAAATTTAGACTTCAAGAATGATGATAAAATAATGAAGGTATATTCTAAAGAATTCTATGCTATGGTAAAGGGATTTACAAAAAGATATGATGTACTAGTAGAGACTAAATACAAGACCATGGCAAAGAAGTTTAAACTAGTGGCATTACAACTACCAACAAATTCTGAGAAGAAGGTTGAAAGGGCCTCTAATCAATTAAATTTGAAAGATAAAAAAAAAAAAAATAGGGCGTAAATTTACAGATACTCAAATTTGGATGGATTTAAAATTAGAAGTGAAGGCTTTTAACAAATGTTGAGAAATATTTCTAAGAGATATTTTTATCTTATAGTAAGACATTTGCATTTGAGACATATGAGATTGGTTGTGTAGATCTAAGTATTGTAACATCAATGGTTATTTTCATCACATCACATACACCATAGAACTTGCAACTAATTTGAATATCAAGGCTTATTTGCCAAAGCTAGTTGATTTATTTAATGAGAAGATTAAGTTGGGAATTGTAACGCCGTTTATTGTACCATATTCTAATTAGTGGTTCACTACACCTAAAAAGAATGGAATATTGAGGTTTATTTAAGTTATGTAGTTTAAAAAAAGAGTGGACCATCTTTAAGATTTAAGACTCTTTCAATCTATAGCAATATAAATGTTCTTAGAATGTAGAATAGCATAGACCAAATCAAAATTGAATAGATCTAAATAGAATGGAAAATGAAAGGCAGAATAGAAGAAAAGAAAATAGAATAGAATTGAATTAAAAAACATGTAAAATCAAACTTTACTAAGAAAAATGGATCGAAGCCATACCTGATTGGATATCCAAGTGGCCTTGGCTAGTCCTATTTATACTTTGTCCAACCATCTTAGAACTTTTTAGGATGTTTCTAATGATAGGCCTTACTTAGATAACCACCTTAAGTTCTTTCTAGAATATTCTATGGTAGATTCTATATAGACCACCAACCTAGCTCCAATTCTAGAAACTTCTCAAACATGGCTCTAACTACCTATCTCTATGTATTAATAATATAAATATTTTATCCATACCCCGTTATTCAATTAGTGAATAAGATAATTATTCAAAATATGGATTTAAGTTTAATTATGGATGAATTTGCTAAGGCATTTGTAGAAAGAATAATTTATTTCATGAGTGATTTATATTTGGAATATGATTAATTTCAATTGGTGCAAAGTAAAGATTGACTAATATAAAAATACCATTGGATTTAATATATATATATATATATATATATATATATATATATTATTGCAAAGACTTATAAATTCCATGGCACATATGATAAATAGAATTAACAAAGTATTGAGAGATTTTATTTTAAAAAAGAATTTATCATTTTTAGATATTGTGCCTATCAAAAGATGTGTGGAAGATGAAAAAGATGAAACATTGGACAAGAAAAGATGTTGCAAGTTTGTCATATTGTTGATTGTGAGAAAATTTTAACAAGATTAGAAGATGTTCATTTAACCTTATTGGAAGCAAAGTTGATATTTGGAATAAGAGAAATTTTGGTTGTGGAATACATGTGTAGACTATATGGATAAAAACCATCTATAGAGAATATTGATGCAATCAAAAGGATGAGGAATTATCTAAATACTATTGATGTTTGAAGGTTTTTGGAAGCATGTATCTTTTATTACATTTAGATTCCGTACTTTGCACATGTAATAAATCATTTATATTATTTATTAAAAAAAATTAATAGAAAAAAAAAACAAAGTAATGAAGAAGTTGAAGAAACTTCTTTCTTCATCACCAATTTTGACAAAGGTGAATTAGGATTTGAAAAGGCCAATGGTATGGATGATTGATACTAGTCCAATAAGAAATAGATAGGCAATTGGATAAGATGACAATGATGGAAATAGCTATGTAGTTAGAATTTGAATAAAGGTTTTGAATTTTTGTCAACGGACTTATGCATAAGTCTAGAGAGAATCATGAAAAATGATAATTACTATGAAGAGTAAGAAAGAACATTTGATAGATGCAATGGTGGTTATGGAAACAAATTTTTTATTTTTATTAAAGGTGATTATAAGTTATTATATTTTAGACATTATTATGTTGAGGTAGATAGTATATATTAAATCTATGAATCTAGACTTTAAACACATTTGAAGGACAAGACAATATGATTGCAAATATGTTATTGAGAGTAAGATATGAAGATAAAGGCAATATGATTGAAAATAAAGAGAATATAGATATTAACTTTTATTCTATTAATTTAATAAGAAGAAATGGATTATAATTAATTATATTACTTGAATTATTTATAGAAGACTTATATGAGAAAGAGTTGTTATATATCAAAAAATACTTTTTTACATTGGAGAGGCAAAAATATTGGACAAATCTAGAGTTTAAGAAAATTTGATTGAAGGCCTATGGTTATTTTTTTAAAGATGGGTTTTTATAAAAATATCCAAAAAAAAAAGGATGGAATATCATAATGGATTGTATGTAGCTTTCAAATCCAAAAAATAATCATCAAGGAATTTTATGAAAGTTGGTAGGCACGGCATTGAGGCATTTTGGCAATATTTACCAAAACAAAAGACAGATATTGATAGAATGGTGTATATAAAGATGTAACAAACTTTATAGGATCTTATGAGATATATTAAGTATATTCAAATATATTCTATTGAGATAGATTGCATCCATCTTATTGATTGGCAATTCATTACAAGTGGGTTGTTGATTTGTTTGAAATACCAATGGGACTTAGACAAAAGAAGTATTTAGTACTTGTTTAAGAAAATTTGTCTTATCAAGTAGAAGAGAGAGCATTATAGACAAAAACTATTAAAGAAGTACATCAATTTTTTTTTTGAAGATATTATTTTTTATTATAGTTGTGTAAGAAAAATCACAATGGATAAAAAAAAAATAGATGCAAAAAAATACATGAATTCTTCAACAAAATAGAGATTAAATGTATATTGAATCTAACTTATTATCTAAAAGCTAATGGAAAAAGTGAGCAAGGATATTTATCAATTACAAAGGTATTAATTAAAGCATATAATAGCAAAGTGATGGATTGATCTATATTATTATTACCTTTATTATAGGAAGATTGCACAACTTATAATATAGTTACATAATATATATTAATAGAGTTAATATATAGATAAAACTAGTAATATCAATTGAGAAAGTGGTACATACATGGATTATATTATATTGGAAGGATAGGCTTAATAGAGATGAATTATTAGCAATAAAATTTTGGCTACTTGAGAGAAGGCCAAAGGACATTAATGTAGCTATTAAGAGGTTGAACAAAGTAAGAATGAAGAATAAAGAGAGATTTATTATAAGCATTGATTTTAAGCTAGGGCTATTGGAAAAGAAGATTTGGTATTGGTTTATGATAGTAGTTAAACAACCAATATAGCATAAAGAAGAAGTTTGTGAAGTGGTGGTTTGGACCTTATATTTTTTTCTAAGCTTATGAAAATGTTCTATATTTATTACAAGAATTAGATGGAATAGAGCTAAAGTTACCA